TAACACACACACACAGGTGACAGTAAATGCTGATCTGAGCTCACCTGCCGCTCTGTGTGTGTTCTGTGCTCAGAAGTCCCGCCTCACCAGCCGCTGGCAGGTAGAAGGAGGTTGGACTCCGCCCCCTCAGGTATGCAGTTCAAATGAATCCAGGTGCCCTCGCAGAGATCAAAACGCTGTACATGAATATGAATGTGGTGACATGTCAGAGTCTCTTTGATCCACCCAAACATCAGCAAACACTCACCTGTGTCATCTGTGCAGGTGAGGAGAAGGAGGAGCTTCACGGGAAACTGGAGGATGATCGTTTTCTCTTCTCGCTAGAAAACGAATCAGCAGCCTGCGACGTGCTCGACCTGCGAGAAGTCCTGTCTGTCTTCCTCAAAGACGGGTAAATATGCAGTACTAATACCTCTGGTACCACAAGTACTGCAGTACCTCACAGTAATACTGCGTTTTAGAGGTTTTAGCAGAAAAACACCTGACTGACCACAGGCTGTGTCTGAAAGGCGGAGGCCACCTTGATGAGGCCACGCCTCTGTGAATGTTTTTTTGTGAACTTTGAACTCATTCATGGTGATGTCAGCAATGATGTAAAGCTCAGCCATCAGTGGCCGGGGTCACGCGGCACACCTGTCAGCTGGTTTGGGACACCTCAGTGTCAGAGCAGGAGGAAGTGGAGGGAGAGCTCGGGGTGTCTCTGCTACGACTCTCAGGAAATTCATTCAGTTGCACAGTGTGAGGCGGAAGCTGCGTCCCTGTCCCGGGTCACCTGTCTGTTGGACAGTGTTTCCTCCGGGCCGACCCGAACTCGTTCAGAGGTAACGCCATGACAGAATCAACCACCTGCGGCCTCAGCTCTCTACTGCAGCTTCAGCACTGGAGGTGTGGAACGTGGCCCGCTCCGAGTCAGTGGACCCAGGACGCTGTCAGCGAGCCCGAGCACTGCCCCAGGCTCCTTCAGGGTCCTTCATTTCATCAAAGGGTAGCTCTGAATCACTCAGGACCAGTTTGTTTGGGGACATCCTAAATCATCTGCATGATGTGTGGATAGAAGAAAGCATCCAACAGATTTAGTGCAGGACACACGGGACTGAGCTCAGACCACTGCAGCGCCAAAGCTACACCAAAGCAACTCGTTACACACAACCGGTGAACGTTTTACATCACAGGAAGTTCCCACAAACAAAACAGGAAGCTCAGGGCAGCCAACTCTGACACTGCAGCTCCCTCTGCTGGACACATCTATTCACTGCAAACACCTACAAACCGACTCAAACAGCAAAGCTGAAAGAATCAGTCGTTTCATATGGTTACCAAGGCAACAGAAAAACAAAGTGACTGGCTCCTCAGCTCTTATTGTTACTCTGCAGACGAGTCCTAGCTCCAGGGTGTTTGTGTTCAGGTATCAGTGCGAATGAATGTGAGTGCGAATGGTTGTCTGTCCCTGTGTGTTGGACCTGCGACAGACTGGCGACCTGTCCAGGGTGTACCCCGCCTCTCGCCCTATGACAGCTGGGATTGGCTCCAGCGCCCCCCGCGACCCTGAAAAGGATAAGCGGAAGCGAATGGATGGATGATGGATGTTAGTTTACTAATGTCATAATGAATCTTTACTCTGATCTATGACATCACAACAGCCTGCCTACTTACAGGTCCTTTAAACCAGGTGTGATAAACATCAGCACCTGTACAGGTCATCCAGAAGATGTTCTACAGGCTGGTTATTAAGCCTGATAAATGAAGTATATCAAGTATAAATGTTGCATATTAGCGGTACAAAAACATCACCGAGGGCATTTATTATTGAGGGTTTACAGTGTGTCTCTGTGATGAAGATGACCGAACCATACCTGCTGCTGTGTTTCAGCCGAGCTCATCAGTTTGAGATCGTCACACTCACAGATCAGCTGATCTGTGCAGCTGACAGCAGGGAGGGGCTGTCGGACCACCTGGTCCATATTCTGAAGGTAATGTTGGTTTGGGTCAGACTTTTCCTCTAAATCCACAGCTCAGGTCCTCTGACTGACTGAATTCATGTTTCCAGGTGATTCTTCCAGGGGGCGTGTCTTATGCTGAGGTGGGCGGAGCCTCCGCAGTCAGTAAAGTGTGTATTGTAGAATTGGGCAGCGCTTCCAATCATCCAGAGGCCTGGCTGCTGCTTTGGGAGGATGGAGTCAGCATTCACCCTGTCCACAGAGAATCCCATGAGTCTCTCACAATTGATCTGGGCATGCTCAGTCACCACGGTAACAGTCTGTCTTATGAGTATGCGTCTGTATGTTGTTTTGTTCAGTAGATGTTGAGGGAACACATATTGATCTGTTTGAGTGCTTTCTTGTTGGAAATGTTTTCCACCCATGACTGGATGTTGGTCCTGCAGCTGACGGTTATTCCGTGTGTAAATGTTTTCATTCACACACACTCGTGTAGTTTATTCTTTGATTATCGGTCTGGTGTCACCATCTCTGCCCTACACAGCCTGAACTCTCCGAGCAGCTTTCAGGCTTCTTTGCATTCGGAGCTCTTCTGTGGCTGTCGGCATTGTGTTGTGTGTATCTGCTGAAATCAGTCAGGCTGCTGATGAATGTGAGGACACTTTGATATCAGTGACCAGTCTGGGTTTAACTCCTCTTACAGAAATGGATCCATCTGAAAACATCGTCACCATGGGAACTGCAGATAGGTGTGCAGCATCACTCTATAACATCTTCATTAAAACTAATGATGTGAATTCAGAGCTTCTGATTGGCTGACACCACCACAGATATATGTGACATCACAGCTGGTTTCTCTCCTCAGGAGGGTGTCATTGCGTTTCGAAGAGCAATACAGCTGTCGGTCCTGGTTCACGACTACTGCAGTATCGCTGCTGTTAGCCCGAGTACTATGACTACTGCAGTATCGCTGCTGTTAGCCCGAGTACTACGACTACTGCAGTATCACTGCTGTCAGGATACTGTCAGTAGTACTACGGTTATACTGCAGTACATGCTTTTTCTGTTCTGGAGACAAATATATAAATATTTTAGTGTTACACAGTTTTCCTGTTGCGTCGGGTTACAGTTACTTCACTCAGAAAAACTGCAGTACTTTTCAGGAGGGCTAATAGCGGCTCATATAAGGTCTCTGAAGTTTTTGCAGTTTCTGCAGAGGTTACTGCTATTAGTACTACAGTACAGATACTGCAGCAGCTCTACAGACAGCAGTACTACATGTAGTAGTAGCTCAGACAGTAGTTCTTCGTGTACCTGCAGCCTGCAGCCACTGCCCTTGGGCTCCGTTGGGAATCAGACTCTCTTGCCGGCGGACATATTGTTTGAGGGCGGAGCCAGCATCTAGCACGCCCTGCTCATGACTCTCCAGGGGGGCGGAGTTTGGTGATATAATCAAGGCCTCCACCAACTGGCTGACTTTTGAAGCGAGACCGCAGCGCCGGTACACGCCCTCCACCTTCAGACCTGAGAGAGAAAATGCTGCATTAGAAGTATCCCATGATGCTTTGCTGCCTGTCACTGTGTCGGCATGGTGGCCTCGGCTCACCGTAGGTGGTGATGTGGGAGATGCAGCGCTCGATGGCCGGTGGTACCGAACCTCTCAGCTGCACATCCATCACAGGGTACAGAGACCAAGAAACTGAGCTCTGATTGGCCGCAGGAGGATGGGGCACGGCTGGGCTCTGATTGGCTGCAAGGGGACGTGGCACGGCTGGGCTCTGATTGGCTGCAAGGGGACGTGGCACGGCTGGGCTCTGATTGGCTAAGAGGATGTTTGCACGGCTGGGCTCTGATTGGCTGCAGGTGGAGTGGCACGGCTGGGCTCTGATTGGCTAGAGCTCTTTGAAGGTGGGTGAACCAGGACCGACAGCTGTATTGCTCTTCGAAACGCAATGACACCCTGAGAGATGAAA